GGGATGGGCGCAGTGGCTGACAGGGCCGACGAACCCATCTGCACGCACCACAGCACGACCTAGCTCCCTTGACACACATATCAGGATTCACATAATCAGGGGATTAGAAGGAGCCGGTGCCGCCTGACTCCCAGTGCACTCACCAGCCTCTTCACACATAATATAAACTGGACTGATGGTGTGTCTGCTAAATGCGTCAGTTTGCAGCGCTAGAAAGGAAATAATCTGGAGGTAAGCGTTGTAAAGCAGCCCTGACTTAAGTAATAACCACGGCTCTACCCTTATTATTATGTTGCTGAAACTTCATGCCTAATTTGAGCTAATACAGCTGCGCTTAACTTTTCCGCATGCCTCTATACCGGAAATCTAAGATTTTCACTAAACGTAAAGAAAATTGTATTTCGAACTGCTCGCACACTTTTATCATAAGTTTTAAACCCGCACCCAGGAGGGGTGTGTACTTTCGTCTGCTGTCCAAGGATAAATGCGCACTTCTTGGAGTGCTGCGCACTAAGTATGGTGTGTGAGTGGGCCACCGTTTAACTGCCCACCACCCCCCTTCTACTAACTCACTTGCACATCTGCCGGCTCACCAGGCCGATGCCGCGCCTTTTCGGTCATAAGCATCTGCTGCAGTCTATCCTAGAGGAATTGGAGCCGGTCTCGCCATTCGTTCCAATGTTCCCACAGCCCTCCTCCTCCTCTCCCTCCACAATCACGAATCAACTGACGTAGGTCTTGCAGCAGCATATTTTAAACAAAAACTTTACTGTTAATAATATTTATAATTTAAATCGCCATTTATATTTATGAAAAAATGCACTTTCAGGAATGGACCATACCATAGTATTCCCTCCTGGTTCTTCTGTATTTATTCTTCCCAGTGGTAGATTTGCGTTTGATACAAACGCATGCCGGTTCCCCTAGTAGTCAGAGTTAGCATATTCTGAACACACTTCAGAGCGACGTGGATAACATTGCTCGCATTAATCTATTTTCCTGTTGTAGACCTCACACGAACAGTACCGCGGCTCGTGAAGAGGCTCTGAAACAGCTCCTCAGCGACTTTGACAGCGACAAGGACGGAAAACTAACGCCATATGAACTAAAACTCGTGTCCGAGAGTTTTGCCATCCCCTTCATGGAGGTTTGTTCATCTATTTTTAAGTTGTAGGAAGGAGACAGCCCCTTCGAAATGCAAATAGTGGTCACTACCCTAGGCAGTTTGATTGGAGTTCTTTACCATATTGCATGCAGTGGGTAATGTTATCTGAAAAGACATGTCGAATTTTTCTGGTCATTTTTGGCGTATATGCTATTGAAAACCGTAATTTTGTAGGAATTCACATCAATGCATTTGCTCAGAATTCAATATACTATCCCACCTATTCATGGCCAATGGTGGTCGCTCGAGAACTGAAAGCAACTTACTGACAGCATGCATAAAACTACTCTAACTCTGGCACCCTCAGTGTGCTTGCTATGTATTATATCAAAAGAAAGAAGGACGATCACTGGGAGAGGTTTATTGTAAGTTTGACGTTTCGGGTAGTTGTCTCGTCCATCCATCTTCAGAGAATGACGTCAGACTTACAATATAAATGTTCCGGTGAACGCCCTCCTTACTTCTGAGTTACCACCTGGGAATCGAATTTTCAGCACTACTATGTATTATGTGTGGCACGTTCATTGTCACCAGTAACATGCTTGCGGTCGAGAGAGATCAGAATCGCAGCATTGAGGGTTAGGCGCTAACTTGAATATTCTATGTACCTCATTTCATAAGGCGCATGGCGTACTGATGATCGGTACCGACCATGAAACAGCTGCCCGAATCTGGTCAGTTGTATCCTTAGTGTGCTATCTAGATAGTTCTTCATTTGCCGCTGTTTTTATCCAAACAGTTTTTCAGTTGACCCAACTGTGAAAAATGTGTGCCCTCGGTAGAATTCGAATCCACACAGCAGGAGAGGCTTAAGTAAAGCCAACGCTCTACCACTCAGCTACGAACGCACACCGAAAGTTTGAAGTTAATCACATTTGGGTCAATTTCGCCGTCCAGCCTACTGCACATATGGAATCCACCATTACGGATACAGAAAGCTGACTGCCCAGGGAGGAGTTCCTAAGCAGTCATCTAGAATCCATCAGAATTAATTATTTTTATTCTCAGGTGCGCAAAATAACCCGTAGGTGATGTATGCGTTGATGCAGAATCAACTTTATCAAAGGAATTCACTACAACTTTTACTTTGACGAAGCTGTGGACAATGCAGAAAACAGATGGAGTATAAAGTTAGGTCATTGTGCCTATGGCCTTTCAGTTCTCTAGAAAAAAAAAACTCGAATGGAAATTAATAGGCTTCATCAGTAGATCGCCCAAACTGTTTCCCTTTTCTGGTGATTCTATGTACGGAATTTTGAGGTATTGAAACGCTCCAACCACTTAAGCGCGTATTCTTCCAGTTTTCCCCTCATATCTCAGCACTGCTTCTTTTCCAGGTCTGCAAGCCAGACCCTTTCTGTATTATACAACTAAACATCTACTCTCTCGCTGGTGCGTGTGAGTAATAAGCGCGTAATGGTAATGGTCACTTTCGAAAGTATTTTAAAAACTTTGAGTGGATTCAAAAAGTCCTATTGCAATCCCTTTCCGATAGTTTATTCCGACCGTTCCGGCGACTTCACAGACCAAGTTCTGAAGGCCCAAGAATAAATATAAACTCGATGCAGGGAGCGGACAAACCGGAAACGCACATTATCCTATCAGTATTCATATTCAGGGCCTTTTACGAGGACGGAGTTCCATCGAGGTGAAAACAAAGCCATGAAATAGTTTAATTGTAACCTAGACTTAATCGACCTGATGGATCAAATTTCGTCGGCAACTTATTGTCATTCGCCACACAATAACCCGCGCGAACTTCAAACTCGAAATTTGAATGCAAAACGAATGCATCTTTTTTATAATTCACTGAGGGCCGATTGATGACGGCCACGCGCACGAAATGTGCGACCAGCTATGTTTTCTGTGTCATGCTGACGAGTATCCTCACCATCCATCTCCTGAAAGGGTTAACGCGCCAACTTCCCGCAAGCTAATTGGTAATGAAGGGCTCAACTGTACCGATCGACCAACCGGTTGATGGTGAGAATACAACAAACGACCTTGGCTCAATACCCTGGCCTTCTCAGTGTGCATAAAGGAGACAGTCTCGAGAAGAAGACGACTCGATCGTTGGAACGACAAGTTTATTCGTCTGACGTTTCGAGATCTGTCGTGTATTAATCATCAAAGACAGAACCATAAAGCAATAGCAGATACGGATATTTATAGGATGTTGTCATTACTACAAACATACAACGACAATTAACGCTCTTTAACTTCTTGTGCGTTGCTAGTTTGTTAACTGGCAAATTCCTGTGGCTCTGCTACCCGTATCTGCTATCGCTTTAAGCTATGTCTCTGTTGATGAATCTGCGACGGATATCCAAACGTCAACCGAATAAGATTATTGTTCCAGCGATCGAGCCGTCTTCTTCTCAATTTATTCCTGGGACTCACATGTTCGCTTGTATTGGAGATGGTCTCCTCTGATACTTCATAGCATTCGACGCCCCTCTAAAAACGTATTGGAATGGCGGTACTTTAAATTCGTAACTGCCAAGCAAAGCACCACAAAATGCTCGTCACCACAATTCTTTCAAAAAACTATCTCATGTCTACTTTTACTTCTTGTCCCCAGAGTCTTGCAGTCGACACGGTCAAAGTACTCTTGAAAAGAAAATATGACGAAACGGAGTTTCATCTCGAATTCACCCCAAACCTTGAGTCCTAAGATTCAGTGCTACAACGTACTTCACCTTCCATGAACTAAAATAAAAACAGGCAAAATACATGCCAATGGTTTCATAAGTTTCTGAAGTTACGGTCTGGGCAGGCCTGCCACGATTGGAGTCACAGGGCTGCCGACGCTATATAGCGAGATGCTGAACTCGGTATGTGAATGGCACCTTCATCTTCATTGGACAGTCGACATTTAACGCACATCTTCACATCATCATGGGCGTCAATTACAATGGGGAAGAAAAGGGCAATCGGCTGGCTCTCTTTGAGTCACCTCCTGTTGCACATATTTGGGTAACCTACATTTAACTCCATCTAAATCTTAAAAACAAAACTTAAGTTTGTAAGGAAGTGGCAAACGTGATGAAATATTGAGCTTCGGCAGCAGCCCAATTTGCCACAAACGAAGTTATGGAAGAGCGCCCTATCGACACATTTCATCAAAGAGCAATGCACCAGACTACGAACATGCCGAAATAAAGTAGTTTCGATGGATATTAAGAGCAATTGGTTGCCCCAAAACCTTTGAAAGCGAAGACGAGATTAGCCGATAAACTGTACCAGAATCAAATTTTGGCGAGTGCTCTCATACGCCAAGAACGTCTTGGAAGCTTTCACCTGCTTTTTTATGATATTTAAAGTTTGGATTGCTTGCCGGCCAGTTGCGACCATCGAACAGTAGGTTATGAAGCCGAAAGACCCGTTGCCATGACAAGAAACCCTTGAAGGGGATAAATGGATTGACAAAGCTGGAGATTACTTCCCACGCGGATGGCTTAAAGTGCAATAGCGGTGAAAAGTGATGACACGTACTTCTCGGGTCACAGCTCACCTAATGGGAACCGACAACACATTTAATTTTGGCGAGACCGAAACCTCAAGCTTACGTTGTAGAAAGCCGTAGCCCCTGAGGTCTCAGATATGCAGTTTATGATAAACGTCATATTCATGGATTTATTTTCCGATTAAAAGCAAAAATATTCGCCGTCATTTTTGATAGCATTCTTTCAATTAAAAAAGCTCTATGGTCCTAATATGATGAGAGCGAAAGCACTGGTAAAAGAAATTTTGATTAAGTTTACATATACCAAAGTAATCCCTCTAAATTTTCTGTATGACTAAAATATCCATGCAGCATCTTACTGATGGAATTTCTCGCCTGCAACGCACTGCGATATACATATCTCCAAGTAGTTTGTGCTATAAGCAAGATCCCTATTTATCCTGACGGACTTCTGGTCTTTTAGATTTGCGGGTGGTGTCAGCATACTCCGGCCGAAGGAAATTCCAGTTTGCTGTCAATTGATGACTTGCTGGTGCACATGAAGACGTGGGTTTCAACGCAAGTCAGGTTAGCGATGCCCTAGTCTGCGTGGTTTTGGCTACGTCATTTCTTGGTTCTCTTTGACTGATATCACCATGGCGAACTTATGCCAGTGTCAAAATGTCCTAGACCATTACATGTATTTTAAATAACTGGTTGTTGGGGCAACACATCGGACAGAAACAGCAGACCAATCAGATCTAAAATTGATCATTTTTCGGAACTGGACGGCACGCCCTGTCTTAATCTCGAGAGGAATTACAGATCTGGTGAGCTGGGGTTCGCTGGCTGTTGTTATACTGTATTCTGTTGCACCACGCGGGCTTCGTTGAATAACTAATAAGGCCAACTTCCAGCCTCCTGCGTTTAGGCCATTTTTTACTCGCGTCTTTCTAACAGCATCACCTGAGATTGCCACCAACGGGTCCGAACTATTCAACACTTCCGTCTCCCTCTCCTCCTCCTCCCTCCTTTGGTGGGGATGGCAAATCCGATTAATCTCTTTTCTAGTCGCACAGTAATGCAAACATCTAGGGTACGCGGATCCCAAATTTGGCAAGCCAAAATATTTTCAGTAAGCTCGACTTTGGTAGAGCCGTTTTTGTCCTCATCTGTCATGAGTTACTAATGCAGTATGCATTTGATACCGTCTACCAACAGTTTTAAAATTGCTCACTGAAATTTACTAAGCTGAACACAGTTTCAGAAAAATCGCAACAGTTTACTTCAAACGCACAACAAATTCGCATAAGTGTTCTAGGAATCTCCAAAGTTGGTTAGTACAGCCACTTCTCAACTTATGAACAGATTGCGTTTCTAAGGGTCGTTCGTAACTCCTAAGGTCCGTAAGTCATTATTCAACATCATCTTATGTGACACTATACTTTATTCAGTTATGTATGATAATAACGCAATTCACCTGTTTTCTTATCCTTAAGCTTCCAAGTAATATACACAACCATTTCGTTTGTACGATTGGAAGTTTTTAAGCACAGGAGTGTCTATATTTTCCGACAGAGTCTTTAGTTATGTCCAGAAAAACAGATTAATTAAAAAAAATTTCAAAACTACTTTGTATTCAAAGTAGCGTGTTTAGGTGCACACGACTTAAGGCCCACTGGATTATTCAGCGCTCTATGAAATTCGACAGTTCTGAACGTAACATTGAACATACTTTTTGAACGACTTCACTCAGGCAAGTTGTCTTAATTTGATTTTTCAGGCATATGAAAATTTTGGCAGCCTACGACGAAGATGGTGCAGCATACAATTATGCCAATGAGCGAAATTATTAGAAGCTACTAATGCAGTTTGAGCGGTTGGTCGGACTAGTTCCTTATTCGTATTAATGAAGAGTTCTGGGTATAACTATCGAACGTGAAAGTGGTATCTAAGCTCTCCGTGAACAGCGACATAATTCCTGTTGGGCTCAACCATCGAAAATGGTTCATTAAATTAACTAGCTTTTCGAGAGTGCGTGTGGTGTGAGAGGGGCGATTGGTGTTTTTATACGACTTTGGAGCAAGTTAATGGGAAGTTCTGTTGGTGCTAAGCATTGCCCGGAACGGGGTGTCGTATACAGAGGTTTATACTGCTTCGGCCGCGGAGATAGGGTGTTCAATTATGCGTGCGCTAATAATTAGCCCTTTGGTAACTGAAAGGATCCTTAAGGCCGGACGATAACTGTCATTTCAACGTCTTTTTCCGCTACGGTGCCTTGATTTATCACTTAAGCTACAGAGCTTACCACAAAGTTGTCACTTTTAAAGATAATAACACTTCTTACCCTTCTCTTCTAATCTATCGTTTTCTCTTCCTTACCACATTTGTTTGCATTAAGTAACGCATATATGCTGTGCTCGTGCAAATGCGTCCTCTGTCCTAACATTGACATTTTGTTTGATAACAATAAATTTTCTCTGCTAAAGGTCAACCCAATTCCAGGATCTCTTCAAGATGGTAGACAAAGACGGTTCGGGCAGCCTCGACATCACGGAAGTCAAAAGTCTGTTCAGCATGCTGGGCCTCAGTTCGGAAGATGAAGAGTTACGAAAAATCTTCGAGCATTTGGATGTTAATAACGACGGCACTCTAGATGATACGGAGTTTTTTGGACTTGTAAAATATTTGATGCGGCGAGAATAATAGTATAGTATCTGTCAGTCTCTTTTGCTTTCTTGCTCCTCTAAACATCATCGTGCACGTTCTGTAGTCCTTTTACATTTGGCTCCTGATACGTCAGTTGACCGTATGTGGTCAAATCTCTCAACCGTTGGGGAGAAGCGGGGGGAACTGGATGTGCGGTCAATTCCTACATTCGAATATCGAGGATATTGTTAAATTTATTTTCATTATTAGCATCTTGGCACTGAATCTTATGAAACTTCGAGACAGTCGTAAAAGTAAACATTGAGCCCAAAGGCAAAACAGGATGAGAGTTTTCCGTAAAGTGACCAGTAACTAGCTCACTGTGGCTGCTAATATGCTCAGTCGAAAGAAGCAAGACAACGAGCCCGATAAGGCGGGGGACTTTTAAGCGACAGGCCGCATGTTCGGGCCTCAGGTGCTGCAAATCCTGGGGTGGGGTATAGCTCGCTCATGAGGGTTAAGCAGCCAGAAACGACCATTCCCGTCGC